CCCCCCCCCCCCCCCCCCCCCACTGTACCTGGACTGTCAGCCCTTCTGTTTACTTATTTTCGTCTCAAGCGCGCACGCACACACACACACATGTGTTCAGTTCACTGGGTTGACTGCTGCCTGGGCCAGAGGTTTTCCAAATGACTAAATTTCCCTAAAACAGATGTGTACACTTTCGTAACTGTAAGATGGTTTGAATAAAAGCGGCGAACAAAATGTGCACAAATACACAACACAAATAAAACACAGAAACACAGAAACACATACACGTACAAATGCCAATGAATGCACAAACATGCTCCCTTACATTTTTTTCCCTTTGCTGCCAATAGGAAGTCTTTCTGTTAAGTCTCCTAGGTGTGTTGTCTTGGTCATCGTCAGCACTTTTTTTTCAGAGGATTTATATCTGTGTGTGTTAGCAAATCTCTCTCTTGCTCTCTCACTCTTTCTGCCCCCTCCTCTTCCTCCTTTTCTCTCTCTATCTATACATTTACATCCTGACTGTTTTAAATGCACTTTGCATTAGACAACCTTTCAACCCAGTGGTGCTGTAGGGGTGTAAAGCGGATATTGCATAGGTGTGTTCAATATCAGGTTGACTTTTTCCCTAGATTGTCGGTTAATGAAGTTTCTGTAGATTATGTTCTTCTCTCTTTAGCCTCACTTTATTTCTGAATGGTATAAACAAGCATTTAACAGCCCTGCTAGATTCCTACTCTCCTCTCCTCCTCCAGGGTACATGACACCTCTGTCTTCCTTATCCATCTTTAAGTGGTAACCACGGTAACATCCAATCCCCTGAGAGATAGGCCTAATTAAATTAAGACTCCTTTGTGTCAATTAATTAACGAGACAGAGAGAGAGAGAGACGGCAACAGAGAGAAAGAGATTGGGCAAGAGACAGGAAAAGAGTAAGTCAGAAAGCCAAAGAGACAACATGAGAGAGAGAGAGAGAGAGAGAGGCCTTTTACTCAAAAGGTGTCTCTATAAATTAGTCTTGTTGTAGAATAAAAGAGGCAAGCGAGTTTAGCAAGCTTGACAATAAGATAAAAGTGCCTACCTGCATAACAGACACGCAAACACATATGCATTGCAAAACAGCACAACTGTCACCATTTCATTCCCACAAATCATTATGTAATCGTCTTCCAGTCAACATGTTTTCATTTCATTTCCATTCTCTATTATCATATTATATTTTTATGTTTATTTATATTCCTATATTAAAGTTTCAGTGTCATGCACAGTCTATTGATATATTTCTTCTGCCATTTCTTACAGGTGTTCGTCTCGACAGGGTGCGTGGCGGGAGACAGAAGTATAAACGCCGGATAGATGCCGACAACAGTCCGTACCTGAACCCACAGCTGGCTCTGCCCCCCAAGAAGCCATGTAAGAACAAACACACACACACACACACACACACACACACACACACACACACACACACACACACACACACACACACATAAAATCTCTGACTGGCAACAGAATATGTGATAGTCCTCTCTCCGAGGTTGAGTAGTGATTCTCAAGGACAGAAATTTGCATTCTGTCCTCAGTGCACAGTAACTCATACTCTACAAATTGACATTTAGGCTGCAGTGACAAAAGCATCTGACATAGTGTGCAGAGGGAACAATGCAAGACATGCTATGTAAAATCCTCCCTAAACAAACAGAAAACATATAGTATACTTTCTTCAGGCAGTGTTCATGTAATAGGCAGGAGTTGTTGGTCAGAGATCAGAAGTACAAGGAACTGCCTTTCCATCAGTTCATATCCTGCTGGAGACAGTTGGACAGTAAAAATAGTTTAAACACACACACACACACACACACACATAAATAGACAGAGGGTAGTGAGAAGCCCATCTGTTTGGGACCAAGTTTATCTTCCTGTCTCTACTGCTACCAGTTTGGGGTCATAACATTTTATATGTGTAATATTTCACTAAAAAGGTATTAATTTTGCTCCGGCTGGATTGGCTGTGTTTTTTTAAAGAAAGAAACCATCGCCAAAGCCTTATGATTGAAAATTAACAAGGGAGTGAGTGAGAGTGACAGAGAGAGAGGGAGAGACTGAGCCTAAATGAGAAGGTTTCTGAGAGAGAGAGAGAGAGAGAGAGAGAGAGAGAGAGAGAGAGAGAGAGAGAGAGCACGGAGGAAGGGAGAAAGAGGAAGGTAGGGGGCAGCCAGCACCCTAATCCGGATTAAATCCAATCTGGCAGCCACATCAAACTAGAGTTAGCTCTTTAGCTAAGCGTCTGCTCGCACACATGACACACACACACATACACACGCACATGCAGTGCAGATTGAACAGTGTTTAGCAGCTTGGTCCCCAAAGCCCATTTTGCTTAAAGCTGGAGCATATTCTGCTTTAGGCCAATATGCTGAATGGCTGCACGGCAGCTTACCGGGACTTCTGCACTACTAATCATTGAAATGATGGGATAATAAGAGTGTGTGTACACTATGTGTGTGTGTGTTTATAATGTACGTGTTTGCATACACAGAGCATGTGTGTGTTCCAGCTGAATGTCTTCACTGGCGGGTTATAGACCAGATATCCTTAAACAGGTTTAGTTGTATTCAAATCTTTAGTCGTGTTATTATTTTTACCAAGCTTTTGTCCCATGTTGGATAAGTTTCAACATGAAGAGTAATTTATTGGACCACTCTAAATAGTTATTCTGGCTGTAATCTCTATTCACTTCCTTTCCTTTAATATATGTATGAAAACAAATCTCTCTCACCTAAAACAAAAACTAGATGATATTGACTTCCTGGGTCTCTCTTGTTCTTTTTCTCTCACAAACAGTCAATACACACACAACAAAAATCTTTCTGTCCCTCTGTCTCTCTCAGATACACGCACATACAGTCTATCTATCCGTAGCCCAATCCCTAGCCTCAGCGTCCCCATTGATTGTGTGAGAACAGAACAATAGCCCAGGGTTTGGAAATGGGCTTCCATTGATTCTAATTAGGGAAACATTAAATAAGATTTACCCACAGATACTGCAGTGTGACTGGGATTGGTTTGGCTCAAACGACCCTGGAGCTGAAACTAGAGGGAAGAGGGTGGAAGAATATATCCATGTACAAATGTGTGTGTGTGTGTGTGTCAACAGAATTGGGGGTGGAGAGTGTTAGATCAATACACAACTCATCCCCCCAACTCTGTTTCACTCTCTCTTGCTGTTTATCTCTATCAAGCTGTCGCTCTCTCGACTTTTCCTGTCTGTCTTTTACAATCTGTCCATGGCTCCATTTCTACCTGTCTGTCTTCTCCCATTTTATTTTCTTTGCTTATCCCTCTCTCTCTCTCTCTCTTTTCCTCTTTCCCTCTCTCCTCTCTTGCTCTTCTATCCTCTGTTATTATTCCCATGCTTGATTAGTCAGTGGATTAATTTGGAAGCAGGGTATCAGTCTGTTACTAATGGGCCATAGAGATCTCATCACCACATGTCACCATTACCAGCTGAGCTGTTTGGCTTTCGGTATTATCTGTCCCTTCTGTATGTATCAGTGACGCTTCTTTCGTCAGTGATACAATGTCTTAAGCAACCTGAATAACCGGCAGTAGTAGCCTTTAATCACACCTTGAAACATCTCCTAAACTAGAAATGTTACAATGTATTTTATTTTATTTTTTATCATCTTTAGTCCTGCCAAATTGCTGGGATTAAATCAATTATCTGTTGCTTGAATGCTGAAAAATTCCCCAGGAAATTACAAGCCATTGTAGTCGAGCATCCTCTTCTTTGATCAAGTTTCCATCACATATCTCAATAAAAAATGACCTAAAAACAAGCTTTGTATACTATATTATGTACAGTATACAATATAATTAAACTGTAAAGTATTACTCGTCAGATAATGTTAGAAATGGACTCTATACACTTTTTACTTTATAAAGTAAGTGTTGTTTGACAATTTTAAAGGCTTTAATTACATGTGTAAGTGTCAAACACGTTTAACATTCTTCCTTTTGTAAATATTCATGTTTGTCAACAATACACAGCTCGCTGCCTAATACGGCAACAATTCACCATCTCTCTGTCTCTGTGTCTTTCTCCTTGTCTGGTGGTCATGTCAGATGCCTTTGGCTGCCTTGCAGATAACAAAATCGTCTCTCACCTGCTGGTGGCCGAGCCAGAGAAGATTTACGCCATGCCTGACCCAACAGTACCAGACAGCGACATCAAGGCCTTGACTACGCTGTGTGACCTGGCGGACAGAGAGCTGGTGGTCAACATCGGCTGGGCCAAACATATTCCCGGTAGGAAAAAAAACCTGCTGAACCCTGACTTTCACACTGAACCTTACCTGACTCCATGTTGTGACAGGATCACACACATACACACACACACATTCCTTCATACATACTTTTTTTCAATTCCAGAGTATAGGAGAGTTCATATACACACCCACGCACATGTACAGGATAGCATACATGCGGTGTGTATTGGCAGAGTACAAGGTTAGACTCGGCTGCTCCAGATGCAGTTCAGGTACACGCACATACACACAAGTACGCCTGGTGCTAAAGTGTGACCTTTCACCCTAATCCTTGCACTCAGACAGTCTGAACTGTTGACTCCTCCACCTGGCTAAACAAATGCTCTCACTGGTGTCACACCTTCAAACACGCACATACATTCTGACCTTTTGAACCAAACACTCCAATCCCCTTAAATTCGACATGTGTGACTGTTGGTGTGTTTGTGAGTCGTATGTACCATATATATATATATATATATATATATGACAGAGCCCTTTGCAACCACAGCCTATTGTGAACTCTTTATGTACTGGTATTAAAAGCCATAGTCACAAAAATGTCATGCAAATACACAACTGGGATAGTATGAGGTTACCTGGGACCGACGTACAGAACAAGGTTTGACTTTTTGATTTTTAGTTGTTTTTTTTTGTTGTCTATGAGACACAATGTGTCCTTGGACACAGAACATGCTTTGAGATGATTGTTGTTTGAAGCGATGAGCATTAATTCATATTTATGTGTGGTAACAATCTTATTATAGAATTTAAAACTACATTGTAGAGAGTTTTTACACAACAGGCGATAGATGGATTTGAATGATTCGACAAAATAAAGTTCAATTAAAATGTCACATTGTAATGATAAAGCAGTGAATAGTTTTTGATCTATAGCGCATATATGTCACTATACAGATCTATCACTAAAACAGAAGAATCGAATCTGTTTAAACAAACTCATTTTTTTCTGTTCAAAATTGAATCTGGACTTCAAGACAATTGAAGTAATGGCAGGATACACGAATGAGCTGTAAAATGAGTGAATAAGAAAATAAAAGATAGAAAAAGAGCAAGACTGATGATGGCGAATGCATCTGGCCGTACGATCTCAAATGAAGACGAAGACCGGGAGTAAAACGTATGAGATTAAAACTATAATCTGGTTTTGGTTTTAGTGACTGAGCCTGCTGTGACATCAGAGAGGAGGGAAGAGGAGTGTCTCAGATTAACACAGATTAGCACAAAGATTAGTCCCACTGTAGACTGGAAATATGGTCGTAGAACAGAACCCCCTGTTGCCACTGCTCACACAGTATATAGGGGGTTGTGAGAGTATAGGGGGAAGCACCAGATTAGAAGCATAAATACCACTCAGTCATGCTGCGTAAATCTATAATAATAAAGTCAATAGCGTTGGATAACAGGGTCTCCAAATGATATATATAATATATTATCAATAAATGTGAAAACAACAGAGTTGAAAGAGAAAAAAACAGATGAAGTGAGAGAGAGAAGGATGGGAATATACATTGCTTCTTGTTAGTGTATTGATCTATGTGCTGCTATATGGACAGTAAGCAGACATCTATTGATCCACATGCCAAGTATAGCCCTTTGAATATTTATTTTTCTCTTTCTAAATAACATATAACCTCATTCCAATGCTATCTCCTTTCCTGTAATCTCCCTGTCCTGCGTTTTACTCTTTTGTGCTTTCTCTTTTAATCCATTTATCTCTCTCCCCTACGATCTCTGTCTCTCTCCCCATACCTCTGGGATGCACCTACTGTATATACAACATACATGCACAAAAATAACTCACAGACACACGCTGACATACACACTAACATACACGTGATGTATATTTAATGTATTATTTTGCATTGGTTTCCTTTGCTCACTACTTTTTCAAGTGAATGGACTGAGTTAGCCAGGTTATGTGCTAGGGTGTGTGTGTGTGTGTGTGTGTGTGTGTGTGTGTGTGGAGGGAGCGAAGTGCAGCGATTGCTTGGCGGAGGAGAGAAGATGGCGTGATTAGATGAACGAGGAAGGCAATCCACTGCTCACAGAGAAAGATAGAACTCTTCATCTTCCAAGTGTGTAATGCGTGTGTGTGTGTGTGTGTGTGTG